ATTATAGCAAAGACAAAGTAAATTTGCATCCTCAAATGCTATTCTGTTGTCCGTGCCCGGGGGCTATATATTGGAATTGGAACGGAAATTTGACAATCGTTTGTTGCTTCGGCGGATATAATCTTTGAACGTTTCGATTGCTTTTCGATACATCGTATTATGTAATAATATTGAGCTTGGGAAATGGATTATTAGACTTTGTGCCCAATAGAACCCATATAACAACTGTATCTTTGAAATTTTCACAAATAATGTCCTTAATTTTTTTTTAAAATAATAGTAGGGGAGCTGAGCCGTACCCTGACACAACCGTACCGTGTACAAATGGTAGTGACAGCCAAACTATACTAATTTTGCAATAGGATCCAGAGGAAAAAAAAATAAAGTATGTTTTTTTGAACAAGTTTCCTTTATTACTTTCAGTCAGCGCTCTACATTTACCTGAGTTAAAACCCTCATTGCTTCTACAAAGTTAAAAGTAAGTACTTAAGGTGATAAAGGTGTTAAAATGAAGTGATCAAGGGATAGCTGGGTCCCATCCACCTTCAAATATTGTGTTAAATAATCTTAACTTTACTTGTTTTGAGATATTGTTGGTGGACCTACTTACCCGCAAACTTTCAAGCCCCGCACTACCCTCTTATAAATAAAAGAAAAAGTTACAATAGTTTATTATATACTTCTCCCAAAATCGAAACCATGTAAATCGCTCACTAATACAAATGTAAAATTTACCGTATGCAGAAAAAGTTAAAAACTGATTCTAGACATTTTGTGTTATTGGAAAAAATAAACTTATCAAGTAAAAAAAAAGTGCGCCTTCGGAGCGCCGCAAAGAAAACTAATATATACTACACAGTTTTCAGTACGTGCGTGCGTTCTTTTGCTGTTTGGAACTACTAGTGCCGTCGAAAATTCAAATTTTAGGCGATATAAATCAATTTATTTATATAGGTTTTAATCTGGATCTAAATTTCTATATTAACTTTACGTAGGGTAAGTAATGGTGATCGCAAAAAAATTGAAAATAAATATTTTTACATATCTTTACGTTTCAAAATCTTCTGAACATTCTGGAATACCTTAGCAAAAAAAATTAAATATATGCGTATGTGTGTCGATTCAAATTTTTGTCAACGAATGTGAACACAAATCAGCCGATTTGAATAATTCAAGAAGCACTTGATTCGTACTGATGGGAAGACGTGCTGATTCCAGCCATACGGAAGATACGGGTCAACGAGTGCCAGAAATGGTAATTTAGTTTTTGAGTTAACGGAGCGTCGGAATTGAATGATTTAGAAAACATATTATTTGCATTCATAAAATAAAAAAACTTATAATAATAATTTTTGTATAATTTTTTGCGAAGGCGGGTATAGCTGTTTTGGCCCAACAAATCCAAAATTTAAATATTAATATAAAGTACTTTAGTAAGAAAGTGAAGATAATTTCCGTGTTCGTATTTTCGAAATTTAAAGGTTAAAGTAAAAAAGTAAAGTAAAAAAGTCTGAAAATGAACTAACAATAATCATTCTTGTGTTTGTTTCTTCAAAATTTAAATATTAAAAGTAAAAAAATGCTATTTGACGGCCAAAAATGATCACTTGAAATATGCACAAGAAATTAATAAGATATTTTATACAGATTTTAATGATAAGTACATATTTTGTTTTCATTTTTACGGATTACGTAATAATATTTTTAACTCTCCTTAGGGTTAAGTAACCGTCATTGAGTTATTGTAATCGTCTAAAATTCGAAATTGAAAATTTTTATATATCTTCACGTTTTAAAGGTTTCTGAACATATTGGCGTATCTTAGAAAAAAATGTATGTATGGCATGTGTGTGTGTGTGCTTATGTATGGATATGATTTTTTGTCCACGTTTTTGGGAGCACGGATAAACCGATTTGAAATATTCAAAAAGCAAAATATTCCAATTGATAGGAACACGTGGTGATTAGATTTTAGCAAAAGTCCGTCCAGTCGTTTCAGAGATATGATACAGGAGAAGCAAGCAGAAAATGAAAGTCGAGTTTTTGAGGGAATGGAGCATCCGATTTGAATGAATTAAAAAACATTTAGTTTGCAATGATGGGGAGAAGTGGTGATTAGTTTTTAACAGAGACTGGTACAGGCGTTTTGGAGATACAAAGCTAAATATGCGAAGAATGACAATTATTGAAGAAAATATTCGATTTGAATTCTTAAAAAAACCTTTTACTTGCTTTGATGAAATTTTTGGAAATAACAAAAAAAATTTTTTAATATATTTATAACGGGAAGTTCCAGCAATTTGTTTTAAGGCATGATGCCATACAACACTATACCTACTTATATACCTACTTACCATTTTAATAGAAACTATTCTTAGAGATATGTAGCCCTAATTAGAAAAAAAATCATTATCCCTATTGAAATCAATCGAACTCAGGTAAACGTCCCAGTCACACCAGCATCTATTTTTTCCACCACTAGTTTGGACTTTTATATGAAGAAAGTTTCAAAAGCTTCAGCAGTTCTGTAATGCAGTGACATCGTGCGCCATCAGGGGAATGAAATAAATAGAGAAACTGGCGCAGGGGACGGCGCACGGCCAACAAAAGGCGACCGCGATAAATGAGGAAAAATGTCTCGGAGCGTGCATTCTACCACAAAGAGTTTCATACTTACACCGGCCGGATTATTATGGAAACGGTCGAATGCTTCGGCTGAAAGGCTACAAATATCAAATTTATTTCGAATTCGAACGAAGTCAGCTGGTGGATAGAGTAGAAATGGAGGAAGTAGACTTTCTATAACTCGCGACATAATTGTTGAACTTTAAACCATACATGTAAGTAGAATAGGAATCAGAACATGAGGTTCCTATGAGTTGTTGTGATGATACTTCTTAATTTCGAAGTTTTTTAAAATACAACCCAACGCTAAGAATTTTGCAAAATATCAGTATTTCTATAATTACAAAATCATCACCTAGAACCTAAAGTTTTGTTAAAAAATTCTGTCTAGTGATTTATTAGAATTGCAAAAGAAAGAAAAGTCACTTTCCTCAGCAAATTACCTAGGAAGATCTTCTGATGATTCTGACACAATGTAAGTATGGACAGTATGTCTATAATGATATGTACCATATTTGTGTAAACTCATTTAGGTATAAAGATAGACGCAACAAACGCACAATTTGAAATTCGGCTTGTGGAACAAAGTTAAAGTCTAAATTTCAAATATGACTGTGTGTGGATCAGAGATGTAAATTCTATGATGGACCGATAAAAACTACCCTCCAAAATTTCGAACTCATATTGCAAAAAAGTGCCTTCTATGCGATGAAAAATGAAGGATTTAAAGCAGTACAATATATTAACAAATTCCGGTAGCAAAAGTATAGATGAACCAGTTTGAGAACTAAATAGTGGTCTATGAAAAATTGAAGAAGAGTAAATTGTGGTGCTTTCACACAGTAAACCAACTTTCAGCAAAGAAAAACTTGTAAGAAATAATTTACAGGACTTTTCCTATCATATTTTCAGCTGATAATCGACAAAATATTTGATTTGTTTTCGAAGTCATCGGTTATTTTTAAAGATATCCTGCAATTTCTGAGATACGCCAATGAAAACTTGTTTTTTCATTACTTTTACTTCAAATGTGTATGTATTTTGTTCACGAACTTCCGAAATAATTATATACTATTATTATTAACTTCCCGCAGGGTAAGTTATTGTAATCGGCCAAAAATTGAAATTGAAAATTTTTACATTTCTTTACGTTTTGAAGGATTCTAAACGTTTTGGCATACCTCAAAACAATGGATGTGTGTGTATGTATGTATGGATACAATTTTTCGGTCACCTTTTCGGGCGTACGGATCAACCGATTTGAATGGTTTAAAAAACATTCGATTTTTATTGATAGGGAGATGTGCTGATTAGTTTTTTGCAAAGGCAAGTCCACCTGTTTTGGAGAAATGGAGCAATGAGTGCAGAAAAAAGAAATCGAGTTTTTAAGAGATCGGAACATCCGTTTTTAATGATCCTAAAAACATTCAATTTGTAATGACGGGAAAAAGTGGTGATTAGTTTTTAGCAAAAGCAGGTCTTGCGGATTCGGAAATGCAAAAAATGTGTAAGAATATGTTTTACTTTATTTCAAAGAAGAAACATGACGGTTTTCTAAATTTTCATTAAATGTTAAATTTTTGCAACAATTTCCAATTTTTGGTATTATGATATGTATATTTTTTGTTATAGGAATATATATTTTTGGCAATACATAAAACTATGAAGATGATTGCTGAATTTTTTGCAATTAAGAAATCAAATAATTTTTAAATCTTATTAATATGTTAGGTGAATATGAATCATATACTAGTGAAATAGATAGAACAGAATTCAATTACATTAAATAACATATAAATTTTTATAACTAATAAAATAAACTGAAAACCAATTTATAATAAAAAAGATTTACGATCAAAACTATTTTATAGTAAATATATTTCCAGTATAAATATCCGAATAAAATTTGATATAAAATATATTTGATTACGAAATACTTTTTAAAATACGAATCAAATAACATCGTTAATTTTAGTGCACTCTAAACTTTTTACTAGCTGTAAATATTTATTATCTTTTACGTTGTATATCTTTATTGCAGTTTGAGATAAGTTTCTAGTGAAACGTTTTTATCTATCGATTTGGAAACTGAACTTTTATTAAATATTGAGTTTGCACTAAATTATATATTAATCAAAATATCTATTTTAATATTTAATGAAATAATAGGAAAATTCATTATTATCAAAATTTACCAATGTGACCCCTGTCTTCACGCTCTCTCAAAACCAATTATGAATAAGTATATAATTTTGTATTGCAAAATATCTAATAAAATTGTTTAATTTGCGATTTTGTCATATAATTGCCATTAAAATTCTTAGTATAAAGCAGTATCTAAAACTATTTCTAAAATTTATGCAATTATTACTCACTTCTGCTGGAAACGAATAACCTCCTACACTATGTTCAGAGCCGAATTGGTCGTGGAGCCCGTAATGAATATGAATTTCCTGAAACCGATATCTGTAAGATAAGGGCCCTCCTGTTAAGTTTACATGAGGGGCCCCTCCACCAATTCCTCCAGGATTGGACTCGTTGTCCGCACTGAATATCACAGAATGGCCAGTGTTTAATATACTTCCACTTATCTGAAAGGAAAAATAAATAAATTAAGATAAAGAAATAGAGAGATAATAATGATTAAGATAAAGAATAGAGATAATTAAGATTAAGAAATTAAGAGCGTGGCCTATAATCAATTTTCATAATTAATTAAATCAATTTTTGTATACCTATAACATTTTAGAATGTCCATAGGCTACGAACTCCATGATTGTGCAAAGATTTATCAAGATTTTCAAAAATTCTACAATTAATTACGAAAAAAGCTAATTTAATTAATCAAAAGCAAATATTATAATAAATAATATATGTTGATGATTGTATCTCTAATAACAAATAATAAAAAACGCATTTTGCTAACAATGATGGTAACAAAACTAGACGCGTAGAGCTTCAATTGCCAATAGCATTTACTAATCGTATACATAAAATTGCTACTGACAAATTATTTTCAAGCTTATAATTACAATGTATATAACTTCTTCGTCGATCGATAAGACAAATAATCAAATTGAGCCAGAAAACATTACACTATTTCTTCTTTACTGAAGCAATATACGGGATAGTTGCACTTCTCAGACGTCCCCAAGAGTATATATCCATTGGTGCATATTGGAAGCAATTTATAATTCATGCAGCCGAAAAGGACGCTGTAAAACAAAATGGGTATCGGAAATATTTTATGTCCTCTTCACATTTATGACCTCAGATGAATGGAGGAAACGTTTTATAAATCGAAATATTTTGATCAAAATGATGGCAATATCTAAGATAGAAAAAGACAGAAGACATGTTATAGAATTCATTGCATTTGACTCGGTATCGTTATTGAATTTATACAAAATTGAAAAAAATCATTGATAGTTATTAATTTTTTTATAATTTTGCTTCAGGGTATTTTGACCGATTTTGACCTAATTTTCTCACTCACTAGAAATTTTAGCAGTAATTATTTATACTATGATATTAATCAAAATATCACACCAGTTAAAAAAAATCACCACTATGTTTTTTTTATAGCCCGGCTAGCTCAGTCAGATTATGAGACTCTTAATTTTAGGCTCTTGGGTTCGAGCCCCACTTAAGTTCGAGGGTACTTAAAATTTCTATCCTTAGTTGATACGCAACTGGATGTGTCTACTAATTTGTAATCAATATTATTGCTTCTATTTTATTATTATGTTATTTAATCATAAATAGAGAGCAGAATTAAGTTTAACAAAAATGTTTTTTATAAACAAAACTACTATATATAAAAATCTACAGAAAATATGCATCAAATTATAATCAAAGATATATTTAAATTTCCTAAAATTACTTAACGTTAGCATGTAATTTAAATTTATTCTTCAATAGAAGTATCTTCCAAAAATGATTTATGTTAACGATTAGTATTAACAAATGTTAAAATTGTATGAATGATAATCATATGAGTGTATAATAATTACCATTTTCTAACAAATTGGCCTATCAATTGCAAATATTACAAATTGCAAATTCGAATAAATTGTAATGTTGTTTAATAAGAAATATATAATTATTAAAAATTAATTGTTCAACTTACTCTATGCTTATCAATGTGCAAGGGCCTCAGATTTGGATCGAACAAAAGTTTGTCAGGCTCCAGATTTACGGGTGATTGCCTTCGACCTTTGTTACATAGTGACCATTCAGGGTTTATTAGACCCCAAAATGCAGGACCTAAAAAAAGATTTATGTGAAACTCATTTTATTATATATATTTTATATATATATATATATATATATATATATATATATAAATATACATTAAATTGAAAATCAATCAAATGGAACGTCTGTAGTGTTGGAAAATCGAATCGTTGTCGCAGACCTCAGACTTGTCTTCAGGCAAAAAATCGCTTCAGTTATTTCCTACTCATTTTTTATTAATAATTAGGTACATTCAGGAAGTAAGATTTGTGAAAAAAATAAAGAATTTTTCATCAATTTTATTGATTCTACAAAAAATTCTCTGGACTGTATTTCTTGGTTCGTAGTACCACATTTTGAGAGCATTCAGATAAAAAATGTAGAAGTAATCTCATTAAATATGTTTCTAAGCTTGTAATTTTTATATGAAAGTTATGTATCCATATGAATATTGATGACAACCTTATAAAAATATTTGATGTTTAATGAAATTTGCAATATCTATTGAAATTACAACTAAAGCAAACGAGATTCTTCCATATCTTGCTTTGTAATATACGAGAAAAAATAAATAAAGGTTATTGACATTTAATACTCAAAAATTCTAAATATTTCAAAATTGCCACAGTAACACCAACTATTTTTTTTTTAAAAAAAAGATAATTTTATAAAACTCTTTAATAATTTATTTATTTCTAGACATCAAGATAACAATGGTTAAAGCTTATTTATGTAAGAGAGTGTTACAGCAATTCTCCTTAAGGCTATACTAGGTTTGAATAGTTTAACACAGTATTCACACATTTTAGAAACCTTTAATTATGGACATAATGCATTTTATAAAACATTTTTGATCTTAATAAATTTTATGATGTTTTGAACGCCATTAGACTACATATAGAAATCGGACTAGAGTTTTGCGACTCATTGCCTCGATTAGTTCTATCTACCATGTGTTTCTCAGAATACCATTTTAGGAACCTTTGGATGTGAAATATAGATATAATCCCTTATGATGAGATAGTTATAGCGACAAAACATAAACGGTAGTAGGATTTAGTGTGTCAACACGCTCAAAACGCTTATATGCGAATGAACAGGGAATACGCTGCGCTTTGTTAGACAGTAACAACGTGTAGACAACTTTATGCTCGGTGAATAACTGCCTTTGAATTAGTATGTCATAGGAATGTTTGACGCAAAACCCTAAACTTGTACTCTAAAACCCTGGGTCTTATAAGACCTCCAAATGTAATTTACATTTTTATATATTTTTCTACCTATTCGATGATCTGCTGCACACATTTCAACGCGCAATCTAAGTTATAACACTGGTAAACCTTTCCACTTGTATAAGATAATTTATATATCTATAATATATCTTATAAATCTTATCAAAGAAGTATAAAAATATATTATGAGGTATACATATTTCAAGAGTTTATGATCTTTTTAACTGCTTTTTCAACTTGAAGTTGGATTTAGAATAACCAAGTAAGAGAGACTGGGTACGGTTGTGTCAGAGGTTACAGTAGAGATTGTAGTCATGAAAGCTTAACTATACTGATTTTGAAATAGAGCCCGAAGAAAAAAAATGAGGTACGTTTGTTCGAACAAGTTTTCTTCATTGCTAAACTATTTTGATCTTTATAGCCATTATTTTCAATCTATGTTTATGCCGCCCTGGAGGTGTGGACGTTTTTAACATTTTCATTTTAACATAGAGAAATGTTCAAATTACCATTTGACTTACTTTACTCCAAACTATCTGATAACTTAAGGGGATGTTCTAGTGTAGAAATTAAAAAAAATCGTTTTTTTTTATTTTCATATTTTCAAAGTTTAACTATCTAAGAATATGGGTACGAGAAGGTTTTTGACATCATTGTAGAATGATAATCTTTTAATTTCTTTTATTTCGGATGCCTAGGAGGGCTGAAATCATGTCAAGACTAAGGTGCCAATTTTTTGAGACCACCCACTTCATTAGCTGCCAGCTTTTACAATTTTCAACTTTTTAATTTTTTTAATTTTTGTTTTGTATTTTAATAATATTAATATACAAGTGGTGAAAAAATGGATAGTGAATATATTCATTGTTTTTTTTTTACAACACTTTAAAAATGACCTAAAATTCATTGCTCTACACTAGAGTACCCCCTTAACAAAATTATAGCACAACCGTACCTAGTCTACCCTACATTCTCAACAGTATTTCCAATATCCCATCCTAGAATTGTTTGTTACACCACGAAAGCTTAAACCTCTCATGACTTCAAGTTTCGAATCATAAACCTTAAACTTTTTTCTGGTTTCAACTGAACTTTAAAATGGTTGCGGATCGACCGAACGATAAAAAACTGCGCAAATGGAAGTAGTTTTGCAAAACGTTCCATTTGCAATATATCTTCGATTGGAAAATGTGCGAAATCCAAAGTATTATATTGGAGATTGTTATATTAGGCTGAAGATATATATATATATATATATATATATATATATATATACATTTTTGCTGCTGAATTAATTATACTTGAAGTTCAAAATCTAAGTATGAGAAAGTATCAAGCAAAAAATTATGAAATTTTGGCTAAATTATACATACCAAACTTGGATAATACACAAGCAACAATAGTATAATTGACAAATATAAAACAAAGTCAGTTAAAAAACTAAAAATTAATTAAATTTAAATATTTTTTATAAAACTATAATATTTATTCAGTCATTCAGTCAAAATTCTGATGGAGGATTTATTTCGTGTAAATACTTTTGAAATAATTTTACTTTGAATTTTTATAGTATCTTAGAATCTACACCTTTTAAATTTCGATCGAATGTTTTTTTTCTTCAAAACATATGATTAAATAATTCTCAAAGCTTTGCTTTTATATTGATGATTGACAATATAATATGCTGCTGCATATTGATATTAAATTAATTTTGTTAAATACCTAAAGTTTTTATTCTACTGAAGATTTAAAAGTTGTCAAATTCAGGCCAAATCTTGTATATTATATTTTTGCAGTTTATAACAAAATTCTTGATAGTTTCACTTACAAATTATTTGCAAAACTTTATACATTTTTCTGTGAACTAAATTTATCTCGAAAAGTTCCTAGTTGTACAAGTGCTTTCCCACGAATGGTTTTTGTGCAATTTGAGAAGTATTAAAACTTATTTTATTATAATATTAATATTTTATAGTAAGCATATGTGATCTTTAGTTCGAAATATAATATTATAATGGTCCAAAAATATAAATGCATTACTCAGAAGTACTTGAATTTTAATTAAAATTATTTTGTGAATAAATAGTGGCATAACAACATTAGGTTTACTAAAATATATTTCTAATAAAAAACAATTTAATTTATGAACAATATATTGACAATGGTTTTAACTTATTATTTTTAAATTGAATAAAATGTCTTTGAAAAAATAACGTGATTAATGTCGATGGTTTTAACTTGATATTCTGGTTTCAAATTATCGTAAATAGCCATTGCAAATAATATTACTATTGTGTCAACGTAATGCGAATCGATTAAATTATATGAAAATACATAAGTACAGTTGAAAACATAATTGCTTGAACATAAAGTTTATGTTACAAGTTTTGGATGAAAATTGTAGGCAAAGTTTATGCAAAAACCCGCCTTTCTGCTGCTTCTGGGGTCGTCAAATATATTTTGTTTGAAATTACGATTTTATTAAATGTCGTAAATAAAGCAATGGATACAAGAACAACTTGACTTCAAACGGGCGATACGATTTAATTGAGAGCCATCGTGTGTTTCTGCTTTCAAAATTAGCATTGTAGAATAGAATTAATTTCAACGTCTTATTTTTAAGATACTCTTTGCTATATTTAATTTATGTTAATTATTTTGAATTAAATTTGCGATGAATTTGCGTCTGAGATGCAATTAATTTTATGTAACAGTGTGTTCTTGCTTGGTCCAAAATTTTCATAGCATCATATCATAGTTAATGAATTGCAAGATTAATTGCAAAAATAAAAAAAAAATAGAGATTACAAATTGAGACTTAATACATCATCAAATATATAAATAAACATACCGTACAGATAAAAAAATGGTATTTAAATTGCAAAGTTCGTTCCAATACATATATGGTTGCACGACGAGAAAGCATTTTGTAGATATTTGTTATTCATATTTTTGAGTAAAATTTGAATATATGGCTCTTATACATACCAAGTTTGAGACAATAAATGTGTCTGTTTTAGAAAGAAAAAGTACACGTTGTTCCTAGAGTTTTCTCTAACTTATGATTTGATCCTATTCTTGTTTGCAGTTGATACTATCTGCATTTTGTTTAAAAAATTTATGAAAAATATGTGAAAATTTTCACTTATTATAATAGATATTAATTATTATTAATAATAGGAATTATTAATTCCAATATTAATAGCTTAAAAATGCACTATCAAGACTACAGTTTATGAAATCTGAAGAATATACTAAAAGAATGTTACATTATAAAGTATTGTCAGTATTTTCATATTTATTTATGAAAATTGCAAAACTAATATATTTTGTTTGCAATATTTTATTAAAATAAAAAATGTGAAAAAATATTGGATTTAATTATCCCTTATTATATTATTATTATATTATTCATTCCAATATTTCTAGGTTAAAAAGTCATTACCAAAGCAACTTTTTCTGTAACCTGAAGAATATACCAAATGAATGTTATATTATGATTAGCAGTATTTTTATTTTTATTTGTTGAAATTGCAAATTTGAATGTTCATACATTTGTTCCAATATGAATTCAATGAACTTTGTTACTTTATATTTGAAAAGGAAATCATACGATATATACAAAACGATATACGAAAAATGTAATGGAAATTTTTATTATTAAATAATTATATATATATATATATATATATATATATGCACACTCTATTGATCAATCTCATATTCACTTGTCATTTACGATTATTAGTAAATATGCAGCTCCTATTTTTATTGGTCAATATTTATAAGATCCAAAGC